GTGTGTGCGGGTGTGTGTGAGCGGTATGTGTGGTGTGTAGGGGTGGCGGGTGTGCGGTAGTGTGTGTGGGTGTACGGGGGTGTGTGTATGGTGGTGTGTGTAGGTGTGCGCGTGTGAGTGTGGGTGTGCAGGTGTGTGGTGTGTGTGGGTGTGCGGGTGTGTGGCAGTGTGTGTGTGGTGTGTGTGGGTGTGCGGGTGTTGGCGGTGTGTGTGTGTGGTGTGTGGGGGTGTGCGGGTGTGCGGTAGTGTGTGTGTGGGTGTACGAGTGTCTGTGTGGTGTGTGTGTGGTGTGTGGGGGTGTGCGGGTGTGTGGTGTGTGGCGGTGTGTGTGTGGGTGTGCGGGTGTGTGGCGGTGTGTGTGTGTGGGTGTGCGGGTGTGTGGCAGTGTGTGTGTGGTGTGTGTGGGTGTGCGAGTGTGTGGTGGTGTGTGTGTGGTGTGTGGGTGTGCGGGTGTGTGGCGGTGTGTGTGTGGTGTGTGTGGGTGTGCGGGTGTGTGTGTGGTGTGTGTGGGTGTGCGGGTGTGTGGCGGTGTGTGTGTGGTGTGTGGGTGTGTGTGTGTGATGTGTGTGGGTGTGCTGGTGTGTGTGGGTGTGCGGGTGTGTGGTGGTGTGTGTGTGTGGTGTGTAGGGGTATGCGGGTGTGTGGGTGTGTAGGTGTGCGGGTGTGTGGGTGTGTATGTATGTGTGGATTTGTGTGTGGGTATGCGGGGTGTGTGTGTGTGGTGTGGGTCCAGGTGGCCTGCACAGGACCCTCTCTAGCTGTGCACCTGATCACCTGTGACCCACTCCTGGTGCTGCGGCTGAGCCTCCTGTCCCACTGCCCCACCGTGTCCCTGTCTACAGGACAGCTTCCCTGTGGGCCCAGGAGAGGGAGTCTCCTTACTGCCTAGGGCACAGGGAGGGGCTCTGCAGCAGGCCCTGAGCCATCCGTCCAGTCACTGGTGCTTTCCTGCCTCGCTTCAGCCCTCTTGGCTCCCCACTTGTGCGCTCCTGGACCTCAGCCCTCATGCCACCAGTGCCACTGACCTGGGCCACCCGGTGACCAGAGTTACCATCGGCATTCACCAGCACTAGGGTGGGGTCCTTTACCGAGTCTCACTGCAGGGTCACTCCAGGCCGAGGCGGTCAGGACTCCTTCCTTCCCCCTTTAACGCAGGGGGTCGGGGTGGGGGCAGATGCCTTTTGCTGTTCTAGGGCTTCATCTCAGGCTCGGGGGTGCCAGCGTCTCCCACTTTGGCCTTGCCCTTGGACTCGGCCTGCCGTCGGGTTGTTTCCTTCCAGGATCCAGACCCTGCCCCCAAAGCAGAGCTGGGAAAGGGGCTGGGTTGGTGGGGAGACATGCCCCAGCGCCCCACAATAGCACTGGGAGGAGGGGTGGGGCATGAGCAAACCAGCTTCCGGGGGCCAGTGCTGTCTGACCCTGCCCCGCGCCTCCTCTCGCCCCCAGATCTAGCGCAGCTGCGCAAGAAGTTCCAGGAGGACAAGCAGAAGATCGAGCTGGGGTGGGCCCAGCGCAAATTCTGACCTGACTGAGCCACCAGAGCCGCAGTGGATGGCTGTAGGTGCGGGGCCTGGAGGAACATGAGGCCAGGCAGGGCCTGCAGCCGTCTCCTGAGAGGCGAGGCTCACAGGAAACGGGCCCCAGGTTGGGGAGGGCCACCCCGTCCACCAGCCCCATGAGAGTCCATAGGCCAGGAGTGAGGCCAGGCCACCCCTCGGGTCTTGAGCTAGCAGTTCTGGGGACCTGGAAATGCCCAGAGGAGGACTTGCCACCTCCTGCCTCCACACCCTCCGTCAAGGACCCTTCATGAATCCGCTCTGTTTTCCCCTTTTCCCTCAATGGAAAAGCCCTTGAGTAGTAACAAAACAGCCTCAAAAGCAGTGAGAATGTGAGGAAGTTTTTATTTTCCACACAGTTGGGCAGCAGGAAAGGCTGAAGTGGCCCCAGCCGCCCCTTCCTGCAGCTGGCTGGAGGTTATTGTACCAGGAGACAGCAGCCCTCCGAACCCAGACTCTGTCTCCCTCTTGAGGTCACAGATGTTGGTGAGTCTCACTCCTTCCCTGACCCACCCTAGGCTGGGCATCAAGACCAGTGAGACACATACACAGGCCTGGCCTTGTTGCAGGCTCGGGAACTCACATTCCCAGTGTTGAGTCTGGCAGCACGAGGTCGTCATAGCTCTGAGCCCAGAGCTGGGTAGGCTGTGAGCATGTGTTTGTGCTGTAAGAAGGAGCTGATGATACTGGCCACGTGCTGGGGTTGGCTCATGTGGACTGCAGTGATTGCCTAGGACTTCCACAAACTGGAACCGCTGGAGAAGGGAGAGGGTGTGTGGTGAGGTGTGGCCAGAGGAGCCTAGGGAGCTCCTTAGGCCCTTGGGGTCAGGGCCCTCACAGCCTTCCAGGCTCCCTGCAGGGCAGGAGCGGCTCCCATGGTGAGTTTCCCACACACACTACACCTTGGAGCCCGGTCAGTCCATAGCACCCCAGAAGGTATGTGAGCCCTGGGGACTTGGAGGCCTCCCAGCTGAGTTGTGAAGTTGCACGTCAGGAGTTGAGCGGGGCGAGGCCAGGGTTGCTGTGTGATTGTATTAGAGGAGAGGGTCCCGTGAGAAAAATAATCAGATGAAACTGAGCAACCTGCAGACTTGTGCCTGCCTTCAAGAAGCCAGACGGGAAGGCCCTGTCTGCCTTGGCTTGACCAGGCGACCGGCCAGCCACAGGTGCCTTCTTCCCTTTGCTTGGCTCAACGCCAGGGAAACCTGCAGAGGCCCAGAGTCAGGTGTTTTGTGGGTGGTGACCGTGAATCACCAGGTGCTCCCAGGAACCCGGTCACAGCCACCCCACCTGCAGCCAGCACACCCCACTGGCGTGATGGGTGCGGAGGAAGAGGCAGCCAGGTGTTCTGCTGTGGTTTGGGAGCCTATAAAATGTGAGACTAGGCTGAGCACGGTGGCTCTGTCTGCAAAAAGACACTTGGCAGGGAGGCCAAGAAGTCGAGACTACAGATAAAGCGAGGTCAGGAGTTTGAGACCAGCCTGGCCAACATGGTGAAATCCCATCTCTTAAAATATAAGAAATTAGCTGGGCATGGTGGCAGGTGCCTGTAATCCCAGCTACTCAGGAGGCTGAGGCACGAGAGTCTCTTGAACCCGGGAGGCGTAGGTTATAGTGAGCCAAGATCTTGCCACTGCACTCCAGCCTGGGCAACAGAGTGAGACTCCATCTCAAAAAAAAAAAAAAAAAAAAAAGCAGGGGGACTATTAGCTGGGCATGATGGTGTGCACCTGTAGTCCCAGCTACTCAGGAGGCTGAGGTGGGAGGATCACTTGAGCCCTGGAGTTTGAGGCTGCAGTGAGCCATGATTGAGCCACGGCACTCCAGCCTGAGCAACAGAATGAGACCCTGTCTCAAAACATAAAATAAAAACTGTGGGACTGCCTCTAGCAGTTGGGTCACCCCTATTGTGTCTGGCCCAGGAAGGAGGTGGGTGCTGAGGCAGTAAAAGAGTCTCCCCACCAAGAGGTCTCTGTTTCCTGAATTCTGATGACATGTGTCCCCAGGCCTCTAGGGACTGACCACAGTGGAGCGGCTGAGGCCTGAGATCCTGGTGGTCACTTGTTGGGCCTGGGCCAGACCAGGAGTCTTCCCAGTGCACGAGAAGAGATGGGTGAGGTGGACCAGAGTGGGTGACGGTGGCCGGACACCCGGCTGCCTGAGCCCGCCTTACCTCTTTGAGGGTGGACTTTGTATGTGTATCATGAATGACAGGGACTCCTTGCTATAGTAACTCTCTCTTCTCACATCAAAATATCCGTGGACTGCTCTGGAAAGTGAGGAGTTGGGGTTGTTGGGGTTCATCTTAGAACCGCCTCCCAGCACTGCCCTCATCCTGCCTGGGTTCAGGCCTCTGAGGAGAAAACCAAAGCCTGGGCTACCCCACCTCCCACAGCCAGGTCCCTTGACCCTGGGTTGGGTTGAGTTCAGTTAATCTCTCAGCTCACCTCGGCTGGCAAAGCCAGGTGCAAAGCGGTGCTTAAGGTACAGCCCTGCTGGGCAGGAGTTCAGGACTTGGCCACAGTCACAGCCCTGAATAGCAGAGCTGGGATCTGAACAGGCTCTGGAGTCACACTTGCTCTGAGAGAATTTACGTCTTACAATCCCTCATTGAAAGTCTACAATCCGTGGTTTTTAATCGTTGAGTTGTGAGACCATCGTCACAATTACAAGAACATTTTCATCACCCTCAGAAGTCCCGAACCTCTGCGCTTTCACAACCCACCCCCCACCCCCACAGGCTTCCGGTCCTGAGCAACCATGAACTGGCTTTGTCTCTGCAGTGTGTCCTCTTTGGACAGGCGTGAATGCAGTCATACAACACGTAGATGGTTGGGTCAGCTTCGATCTGTTTAGCGTGAAGGTTCATCCCACGCTGGAGCCATGTCTGTGCTTCGTTTCTTTTTATGGCTGAAAAATTGTCTGTGGTGGGCCAGGCACGGTGGCTCATGCCTGTAATCCCAGCACTTTGGGAGGCTAAAGTGGGCGGATCATGGGGTCAGGAGATGGAGATCAGTCTGGCCAACATGGTGAAACCTCGTCTCTACTAAAAATACAAAAATTAGCCAGGCATGGTGGCGGGCACCTGTAGTCCCAGCTACTCGGGAGGCTGAGGCAGGACAATCGCCTGAATCCGGGAGGCAGAGGTTGCAGTGAGCTGACTTTGTGCTCCACTGGTCCATGGAAGCCTTACCTGGGCATGCCCCGCTGACACCTGTGAAAGGTGTGGGGCCCTAGCCCATCCCGCTGCCCTGAGCCCTTCCCTCCTCTGACCTTCCTCCCTTCCATGACCCTGCTGCCAGAGCTTCCCGAAAAGATCTTGAGCCTCAGCCCGGTGTGGTCAACAGAAACTTGGAGCCTCATGCCCACGGCTCCCTCCGGAGATTCCTGGCGCCCATGTGTGTCTTTTTGGGGGTGACTGAAGTGCACTTGGTCCAGACTCACTTGATGAACAGGACGTGGGCCTGCAGCTTCCTGATGGAATGCGCATACAGCTCCCCCTGCTGAAGTCAGCACCCTGCCTCCCGGCTGCAGAGACAAAAATCATGCTGAATCCTGTCCACAGGCACAGGCACTCTGGTGGGCCCCCAAGGCCATGTCTGTTGGGAGGCGGCTAAGCCCTGAGTAAGGCACCTTAACCACATCCACCCTGGGTCCAAGCCCAGGACCCCAGCACCTCCGCCTCATTGAAGGCTCTTTAGCCCCTGGTGGCCAGAGACTCCTGCCCTCTCCAAGTCTGTTGTCCACTTTTCCTGGGTTCGTGGCTACCCAGCCTGACTCCATTTCCCATATTCCTTTGCCACTGGGTATGGCTGTGTGATTAAAGGCAGAGAAGTGACTTGGGCCACTTCTGGGCCTGGATTTTAGGACTGAGGTGTGGCCCTTCCACACCCCTTTCCCAGTCCGTAGGCTGCACTACTCACGCTGTCCCCTGCCAGCCTGGGACAGCCTTCTGTCAGGAGGAAGAAACTTGCTGGGACCACAGTGCAGGATGGGCACTCCATCATAGCCCCTGCCCGGCCCCTCCCTCCATAACCTGCCTGCCCTGTCATGACAGTTTCACGTCTGGATGGTGGGGATGTGGCCAGCTCCCAGTGGGGTGTGCTGTAGGTGTGACACGGCTGGATTTGGAAAACTTAGCATGCAAAATATTGATGACTTTATGTTGATTACATCTGAAATCACATAGGTAGTGTTAAATAAAAAGAACAATTGATAGAGGTTTTTTTTTTGGGAGACAGACTTTTGTTCTTGTTGCCCAGGCTAGAGTGCAATGGCGACCTCAGCTCACCGCAACCTCCACACACAGTTCAAGCGATTCTGGATTACAGGCTCCCACCATCACACCTGGCTAATTTTGTATTTTTAGTTGGGGAGATAGGTTTCACCATGTTGGTCAAGTGGGTCTTGAACTCCCAACCTCTGGTGATCTGCCCGCCTCGGCCTCCCAAAGTGCTGGGATTACAGGCGTGAGCCACCGCACCAGGCCTTTTTTTTTTTTTTTTTAGGGGGTGGCCTTGGTGTCACTCTTGTTGCCCATGCTGTGATAGTGCACACCTGTAGTCCTAGCTACTCAGGAGGCTGAGGTGGGAAGATCACTTGAACCCAGCAGTTTGAGGCTGTGTGAGCCATGATTGAAGCCATGGCACTCCAGTCTGGGTGATGAGAGAGGAGACCCTATCTCTAAAATTAAAATAAATAGACTGAACATGGTGGCTCATGCCTGTAATCCCAGCACCTTGGGAAGGCAAGGCAGGCAGATCACCTGAGGAGTCAGGAATTTGAGAGTAGCCTGGCCAACAGGTGAATCCCAACTATACTAGAAATGCAAAAATTGGCCAGGTGTGTAACAACCAGAGTGCCTGTAATCCCAACTACTGGGGGCTGAGGCAGGAGAATTGCTTGAACCTGGGAGGCAAAGGTTGCAGTGAGCTGAGATCGTGCCATTGCTCTCCAGCCTGGCTGACAAGAGCGAGACTCTGGATCAATAAAAATAATAATAATAAAATTAAGAAAAATAGAACTTTTAAAACATGAAAAAAAAAACCCGAATCACTACCTCACACCATGCTCAGAACAAATCCCACATGGATCAAAGACAAACACACATTAACATTCCCAGACCATTGCTTCAACACCCTGGTCCAAGCCTCCATCTCTTGGCCTGGGCCTGCGTAGTAACAGCTCTCAGCCCCGTTCTCCCTGCAGTTAGGCTTCCCCACCTCCTAATGACAGTCTCACACGTGTCCAGTGCTCTACCATTTTGAACAATCACAAATAGCACAGGCCATGAGTACCTGGAAGCAACAGCAGTGTCTTGAGCCCTCAACACACATGACCTCCCCTAGTCTCGACAACCCAGCCCCGAAAGGCAGGCCCAGGCGTGGCTCCTAGCCAAGCTGCTCAGAAACCAGCTGAATGAATGAAAGTGCTTTCTTTCTGCACATGAGACAACCAAGGCTCCAGAGAGGTAAGCACCTTGCCCAAGGTCACACAGCCCCTCAGTGGCAGAGATGGCCAAGTTTCTATTAATACAAGTGCTCCAGTGACACACTTCCAGGCTTCCAGATGGGACGCTGTTTTCTGAGAACTTGTCATCACTGCCCCTCCTCCCCACAGCCTCATTAGAATCCCATCTCAACAGATGCCGAGCTGACTTTAGCTTTTCCTGAATGCAGCGGTCAGTGCCTGAATATCCCCCTCGTCCTCACCTCCACTGACTCTATTTAATGCCACTGAAGTGCACACTTACAAGCAGTTAGATTGACCATTATTATGTATTATATTACTATGTAATTTTCTTTTTTTTTTTTTTTTTTTGAGATGGAGTCTCACTCTGCGCCCAGACTGCAGTGCAGTGGTGCGATCTCGGCTCACTGCAATCTCTGCCTCCCATTCAAGCGATTCTCCTGCCTCAGCCTCCTGAGTAGCTAGGATTACAGGCGTGTGCCACCATGCCTGTTTTGTTTTTCAGTTTTTTGTTTGTTTGTTTGTTTGTTTTTGTATTTTTAGTAGAGAAGGGTTTACTATTTGCCTTCGCTATTCGCAAACTCCTGACCTCAGGTGATCCACCTGCCTCAGCCTCCCAAAGTGCTGGGATTACAGGTGTGAGCCACCACGCTAGAAGCATCTAATTTTCAAAAGCGATAAAGATGCTAATAAGCAAACCGTGGCAGAGAGGATGCAGAGGCAGCGGTACTCACCCAGGATAGCCTCTGGTCTCTGTTCAGAACCAGACCTGAAAGTGAGCTTTAAAAGACAGCGGCGTCAATGCTGTCTGTCAGGCTCAGCCCAGTGCTCCGTGACTTTCCTGGAACCCCCCCAGGCCTTACCAGCCAGGGCTCGTTTCTCTCACCTGCCCCTGACGTCCTCAGCTGCCCAGGACTCCCTGTCCTGGGGTCCAGCTAGAACAGAGTGCGACCACGGCCACCCGGCCTGAGGACCTGTCAGCCCACATGGGCACTCACCAGCCATCCTCTGCTCTCTCCCCCATCACTGCAACACCCACTCACACCTCCAGGCCTGTCCTGCCCAGCTCCTTTCTCCTCCCTGGAGTCCGTGGGAGCAGCTCCCTTTACCTACTGCTTTGCTCAAAAGTCACCCCCTCATGAGGCCCCAGACCCTCCTATTCAAGAGAGTGGGCTGCAGCCTCTCCAGCAATGCTCGCTGCCCTCCACTCTGCCTCCTCCGCAGAGCCCTCCCCTCCTCACGCACTCTGTAACCCATCCAGAGAACCTCTCAGACAAGCCCATGGGCTCCAGAGGCTCCCAGCAGCCAGAGAGGCGGGGACAGATTCTCCCTCACAGCCCTCGGAAGGGAGCCAGCCCTGCCGAGGGCCTTGACCTTGGACCACAGGCTCCAGAACTGTGGGGAAACGTGTCTTGGTGGTTAAAGCTCCAGATTCTGGAGGGATCAGGTTGGATGATGGGGGCAGGGAAGAGATAGAGATATGAACTCTCCAGAGTGCTCTGGGGCTGGCGGGAAGGATTCGGGAGGAACGGACATCGTCCTTGAGGCACTGGGTGGGGGTCTGGTACTGTCTTCTTTTAGGTTGCCGTTTCGTTTGGCTGGGTCCCAAAGGCCAGAACTGCTGTAGAGCTTGTCCCTTTTGTAGAATTCCAGCCAACTGACCTCTTCCCAGACCCGGGGAGTCACCTCATCTCAGCCCTCCCCTCTTGCCTGTTCCTCACCCCCTGACACCCACACTCACGGGTTCCCGGTCAGCATCCTGCATTCACTGTTTCCTGTGACCTGGGCCTAATCAGATTCCCCGGCCTCATCACAGATTAGCTCACTTCTGTGCCTGGGGCTCCCTAGGTCAGCCATCTGTGGGGCATGTCCAGGAAGCCTGGGCTGTGAGGTCCCTACAGCCGCCCCTTCCCACGATGGGTTTCAGGGAGGTGAGATAAAGGTTCAGAGATGATCTAAAAGACCCAACAGGTCCCAAACCCGACCGAGGCCGAAGCAGCCCACAGGTGCCGCTCTTTAGACCCTCATATCCATTTCTGGATTCATGACACCTAAAAATCCACAACTCAGCAGATCTACTGCAGAGCTGAGCAACTAGAAATTCTGGCCCACGAGAGACTGAATTCGCTTGATTAGCACTGGCCCAGCTGCCTGCACGGTGGGCGGCTCCAGCTCAGCAAAGTCCTACACATCCCGCAGCCTCCCCTCCCAGCCGGCATGGTGGACTCCACAACACGCCCCACCGCCCCGGGTGCCGCCGTTTCTGAGCCCGCATCACTCAGCACTTTATGAGGAAGGCATATGCCCACCTCGCCTGATCCGATGAGTGCAAAAACCCAAGACCTTGTTTGTCACCTGAGCACACAAGGGAGTTTAAAAAGGAAAAGGACTGTCCCAGGTTCACTCAGCTGGCCGTGTCAGGAAACCCGTTGTTTAGCCAGCTCAGCACATTCTCAAGTCCTATGACAGCATCTCCCTCCAGCTGTTCCCTCACCCTGGGAGAGCTGCCGCCCGGACCACCCCTCCCTGGGCAGGCCCGCTGCGAGTCTCTTCTACAGCATGTGTATTTCCCTCGTTACATCCAGAGAATGTCTAACCGCTCATGTGCCTGTTGACCGGTTTATCCTCGGCTTCTCTTCCAAGAATCTAGGCCTCTGCCGGACTCCTCCTTGCTCAACTCCAGAGGTGCCCTTTGTGAGCGGCGGCCCCTGGAGTTGCGATCTGGAGGTCTGGCCCCACTGAGAGGGACCGGTGGGCTCTTGCTCACTGCAGCCTCACTGAGCCGGGCCTGTGTGCACCAACAGAAAAGTTTCCTGGCAGGCACAGTGGCTCACACCCGTAGTCCCAGCTACTCAGGAGGCTGAGGTGGGACGATGTCTGGAGCCTGGGAGGTGGAGGCTGCAGTGAGCCATGATGGTGCCACCGCACTCCAGCCTACGTGACAGAGTGAGACCTTGTCTCAAAGAAAAAAAATAAATAAAAATGAAGAAAGAAAAAAATTCCTGAGTAAAAGCAAAGTATAAGAATTGCTTGTTCCAGAAGCTGCTCTGAAACCAAGACACAAGCTCCACCTCTCTCCATTGTGAAAAGCCTCTCCCAAGTCACTCAGCCCCTGGGACGTCCTCACAGCCTGCCCCTGGGGCTGGGCACCCACCCAGGTCCAGCAGAGCATGGCACCCAACATTCCACCAACATTTAGTCAGACACCTGACCAGACTCTCCCAGAGTGTGGCTTTCTAGGATGTGCAGTAACTGCATAGCCTGCGCCTGGAGTAAGCTTGGCAATGCTATTGTCCATTTTCCTGCTGTAAATGGGATGGAAAGGTGAGGCAGGAGGATTCGTGGATGCTGTTTGCAAAGTGCTTAGTATCCTGCCTAGTCTAGGGTGAAGTCCTTGGCATCACCGGTAAGAACAGTGACAAATGCTCCACAACAGCCTTGGACAGCGGAGTCCATACCGAGGCCCACCTTCGTGGTTCCTCTTTGCAGGAGGAGCTCCCCGCACTCCTCACTCATGTGGATATGGCTCTTCAGTAACCTGGGGGAGACAGAAGGATGCTGGGTGCTTGGGGACCAATAAAAGGAGGTCAGATAAAAAGGAGAGGAGGACCAGGGGCGTTGGCTCATGCCTATAATCCCAGCACTTTGGGAGTTCAAGATGGATGGATCACCTGAGGTCAGGAGTTCAAGAGCAGCCTGGCCAACATGGTAAGCCCACATCTCTCTGAAGTAAAAATGCAAAACTTAGCTGGATGTGGTAGTGTGTACGCAACCTCAACTACCCAGGAGGCTGAGGCATGAGAATCACTTGAACCCAGGAGGCGGAGGTTGCAGTGAGTTGAGATCGTGCCACTGCACTCTGGCCTGGGGAACAGACTTGGTCTCCAAAAAAACAAAAACAAAAACAAAAAAAAAAAAAAGAGAGAAGTGCAGTGAAAGGGAGGTCACCCACACAGGGTGCATATGTCCTGTGGTTTTGTTTTCTTTTAATGAGACAGGGTCTCATTCTGTCACCCAGGCTGGAGTGCAGTGACATGATCATGGCTCTCTGCAGCCTGAACCTCCTGGGGCTGCACAATCCTCCCAACTAAGGCTGCCGAGTAGCTGGGACCACAGGCGTGTGCCACCGTGACCAGCTAATTTTTTTTTTTTTTTGATACAGGGTCTCGCTATGTTGCTAACGCTGGTCTCTAACTCCTGGGCTCAAGCTGTCTTCCCACCTCAGCTTCCCAGTGTGCTGGGATTACAGGTGTGAGCCACTGCGCCTGGACTGTGTCCGTGTTTCAATGGCATGTTTACAGCGGCTTGGGAGTGTGTGTGTGCGTGCGTGTGGTGGGGCAGTGGGGGGCAGGGTGTGTGTGTGCGTGCGTGTGGTGGGGCAGTGAGGGGCTTCTCCTCCTTCCAGACAACAAATAAGTGTGGAGCTCAAACCTACCAGGCCCACCGCCAGATGCAGGAGGCACAAACATGACCAAGTCAGCCATAGTGGGGGTTGTGGGGTTCACAGGCCTCGGGAACCAGGGGAGTCAGTAGGCTCTTATTGGACAGTGTGGTTACCTGCAGGGCAAGGGAGGGACAGCTCGCCTGGGGTGTCAGGGGCACTTCCCAGCTGAGGCCCCCAGGAGTGGGGGAAGCCAGTGAGCAAGCACAGGGAGAATTCCAGCTAAGGAGCCCAGGCTGGAGTCCCAGAGGAGAGAGGGCGTGGAAGCAGCGTGTGCTCGGGGAGAGGCGGGGGCTGAGAGGTGTGGGGAGGCTGTTGGAGTAAGTAAGGGGCATGGCCGGAGCAGGGGCAGAGGGAAAGGAGGTAACATCCCTGAAGACCCTGGGAAGCCTGGTGCTCAGCGTGACCCCAGAGAGAAACAGGCTTGTTGGGTGAGAGGGAGAAGAGCGCTTCCCACATCTCACAGATGTCCTCGTCGACCCCACAGCTCCCCATCCCACACAGGCACTCACCTCTGCAGCAGCTGCTTCGGGCTGTACACGCTCGAGGCTCCTGGAGCCTCTACCTGCAACATGTGCTCTATGGCCTCCCTCCGCTTGTAGGTCCTTAAGTTCTCTACTTCCTAAGAGACACAGTTGGCTGGGTGGGCAGGGATCCAGGCTGCAGACCAGGCCTCCGCCCCTCCCGCCCCTGCCCTCTGCTCTCGCTGAGCCCTCTCTCGGCAAAGGGGACACAGGCGCAGCCCTCGCTGAGTCAGTCCACGATTCTGGACAGTCTCTGTTTCATCTCAGTGCGCCAGCCTGGTCTTGCCTGTGGCCAGGGACAGTTGAAGAGATCAGGTGGGATGATGAGGAGGAAGGGAATCTCTGTCAACTGTTGGAGTGCTTTGCAAAGGCATGAAATTGGGGTCAGAGCGCCATGAACCACGGGGTTGGCGATTTCTTCTGGTTCAACAAATGCCATCACTCTCCAGTGGCAGAAAGGGACTGGAGGAAGGGGCGCGTTCTGGGGCCCAGGCTCCCCAGGATGCGTGGCTCACTCTGTGAGGACAGCCTCGGGCCCACTGCCAGGAGCTGCAGAGGGCAACTCCCATCTACCCGCCTGAGAATGGAGGACAAGAGGAACAAATGCCTCTTGACTCACCCGGGAGGGAAGCCCCGGGGCCACTGCGCTTATCAATTCAGTGGGTGGCCCAGAAAGAGAGGAGTGTCTGCTGTCTGCCATCTGTGAACTGGATCCTCACAATAGACCCTGAGCTAGCTGAGCTCATGCAAGGAACATTTACTGAGCCCTTCCTAGGTGCCAGGAGTTCGAGTGTGGTGACAAAGAGATGGACATGATTCTTGCCCTTATGGCATCTGTGGTCATTGTTTTTTTCCTTTTTTTTTCCGTTTTTTTTTTGGAGATGGAGTTTCACTCTTGTTGCCCAGGCTGGAGTGCAGTGAGGCAATCTCAGCTCACTGCAACCTCTGCCTCCTGGGTTCAAATGATTCTTCTGCCTCAGCCTCCCGAGTAGCTGGAATTACAGGCATGTGCCACCACGCCCAGCTAATCTTGTATTTTCAGTAGAGACAGGGTTTCTCCATGTTGGTCAGGCTGGTCTCGAACTCCTGACCTCGAGTGATCTGCCCGCCTTGGCCTCCCAAAGTGCTGGGATTACAGGCGTGAGCCACCCGTCCCGGCGATCTGTGGTCCTTCTATGGACAAAAAACCTGGAAACTGGCCAGGAGTTGTGTCACAACTGAGAGGCTGAGACCTTGGCAAAGAGAAAGCTGGCAGATGTCGGGGCTGGCGTCATTCAGCCCAACCTCATTTTACAGGTGTGGGAACTAAGGCAAAATAACGCCCGGGAGTCGCAGCAGGTGAAGCCACCAGGCCAGGACCCAGATGCAGGGACAGTACTGGTTATAGGTAGTCGTGGCCAGAGGGGTCAGTACTTGTTCATCAATTCCTTTTAGGGCTGTCATGTGTGGTAGTTTGGCATTGTACACAGTGCAAGGCATTAGAGCTGGGTGTGAGTGCACGCTGTACCCAGCTGTGTGCCCAAGCATCCTCCAGCCATGGCTCCTGCCCTCTTCCACCCCTGCCACTGCATGATCAGCCTGGCATTCTGCAGATCCCAAGCCACACATCCAGTTTCCAGTGGGTCCCCCACACCCCTTCTCCTGACCACTCCTAGGGGTATAAGCAGCAGAGAGCTGTCCTGTGGTGGAGAGCGGGTCCCTGACTCCTTTCCCACCCTCTGCACTCCTCCTGCTTCCTAGTGTCCACCAAAGGAGACAGGGCTGAGAGCACTGCCCGGGGTGCAGTGCTCTGCGACAGCTGCATGCGAAACCAGCTTCTCCCATTCGATTCCAGGACAAAAGAGCGAGGTGAGTCCAGCAAGATAAGTTTATTCACCATCTCGGGGAAGATACCGGGAAAAACTGTGAGGACAGCAGAAGGGAGAATGAATAGGGGAAGAGAAAAGGACTCCGCCTTTCCAGGGGGACCCTGGAGTTCCGGAAACATCTTTAGGCTCCAGAGAGAGGTGCTGACCAAGGGCCAGAAGAATGTTCTATCCTATGGTGTGCCTTCCCCACCCCCACGTCCTGCACCTAGCACTGAGCTCCAGACCCTGGTGGTGGCGGGACTCCCAAGTGCTCTGGGACAGGGTATGGGGGCGTGGAAACATTAACTCTACCAGAAGTCTCCACCCGTTTACACCAACTACTGCATAGTAATGTGCTGTGACAGGAGGAGGCACTTCCTATCCCAGGTACCTTCTCCTTCCTCTCTGTGCTACCATCCCCAGCCCCAGCCGAGAGACCCTGTTCGGCCAGACAAAGCCATCTACTCACCATTCGCCCACAACACCACCTGGGGGACAAAGAGCCATTGGTGACATTCCTCACTCCCTCCCCAGCTGCAAACCCTAAAACCTAACTTCCCACCAGTGGTGGAGGGGAGAGGGGGCTCATATATGAGTGTTGGAGGCTCAGTATCACAGGCCACGGTGGCCCTTCATCAGACCCGACCACTCAAAGACCCATTTCCCTCATCTCTGTCCACTTGCAGCGATTTGCCTGAGAGTCAGAGGTACAGCGGTCCAATCTCCTGATGCTCTCATCTCTCTCTGCAGATCTCATAAGCGCAGGGGAAAGCGGTGGGGCAGCAGCTCCTGCCCTTCCCTCCCAGTCCAACTCCGGGCCCACCTGGCTGCTGATCAGTGTACTCACCGAAGCTGTGGCCCAGAATGGAGAGTCAGTTCCATTTCAAGGCTGGAAAGCGCAAGGCCAGAGGTCAGGCTGTGCACAGGCTCAAGCCCGCCCTCACAAGCTTCTTTCTCTCCGGGCTCAGGAAATCCCTTCCCAGCATCTGGGTATACCAGGAGGCCAGCTTGGGAGACCCCACAGGAGAAGCAAAGCTCTTCAACTTTCCTAAGATCTCCCGTGAATTCCTGGCAGACCTGGGGCCAGAGCGGAAAAATACACTGCTTCTTACCTGCCACAACTCTTCGGATGTCACTCACAAAAGTCCGGTGGTAATATGGGACACCTGGGCTGTAATAGGACGAGAGCCCATGACCTCCGAAATCCATGGCAACGTAATAAAAGTCTGAAACAGAGAGAAGCAGGTTGGAGGGTAGGAAGAGGTGTCTATGCCCAGCTGTCTCCTGCCCTCCTCTCACTCCCCTGCCAGACCTCCCCCTCACCTTCTTACCTTTCCCCTGGGCACCCTCAGCCCCAGCCTCACACACGGGAAGAGGGATGGAGTCTGTCGAAGAGGAGTTGGCATTGTCCAGCCAGCCGTGCAGGCAGAGAACTGGAGGAGCCCTGCAGGAACCCCAGGCTTTAGCTGCGATGTGGCCCCCGGGCACAGCCAACTTCAGCTCCTGGTCATACCTGAAAGACAGGCGGCTCTTTCATTCCCTCACTCTTTCATCCATGAAGGTGGTGCTCCCTGAGCCCCTTATCTCTGCCTGCTGTGCTTGAGCCAGGACTACAGAGACCCTTAGAGCCCTCAGAGGTTATGGGGAGAGGGCCAGACATGGGTGTGGAGACTCCCAGAGGAGAGAAAGATAAGTTAGGCCGGAAAAACCTGAGACAGGCCTCACAGCATGTACCCCATTTAAACTGGCAGAACATTCTAAGTGTGCTGGGGCAGGTGCGCTGGTCATGCCCGGACCCTACCAGTTGCAGGCTGGGTGACCTTGGACAAAGTACTAAACTGTCTTGAGACTCAGTTTCCTTTCCTGTAAACTGGAGTAAACAGAGTAAACAGCCCAGTTTCCTTAGCCTTTCAAGAGACGGTCATAAAGCCTCACACATGCAGCAGGTGGGACCACTGTCCTCTCTCACTCCACAGAGCGGGAAACTGAGGCACTGGGAGCTGCAGCCATGCCCAAGGTCACACTGGGCGACAGGAATCGGAGTGGGGTGGGCAGGTGGTGGGACCAGGATCCGCCGCCCCCAGAGCTGCCCAGCCTCCGCCGTCCCTCCCGGGCTGGAGACCGCGCGCCCGCGTGCCACCAGCTCGGCTAACTCAGGGCTCCTGGGCCCTGCAGGAGCCACGTGAGGCCATCCCGGGGCTCCCACCTCCCGGCTGGTCGCTCTCACGCCCCGGGACTGCGAGGAAGGAGCTTAGAAGCTTTGGGAGGCGGCGGTCGAACCCTCCACTGCATCCCGCCCTCCTCCACAGTCCCAATCAGGTGGGTCCGCGGCGGGGCGCTCGTGCGAGGCCTCCCCGTCCCACTGAAGTCTAACGAGACCCGGTGCTGCGTTCCTCACCCATCGCGCTCTGGTCCCGCGAATGCGCAGCCATCACCCCCTCACGCCTCACCAGGTCGCCGGAGGAGGGACGCCTGCAGTTCCTGGCCCTGCCTCCCAGGCTCTCCCGCCCCGCCCCAGGCGTTCCGCCTCCGTCGCAGGCCCCGCCTTCACCCGCCCTCCCCACCATGTGCCCTGGCCGGCCCCGCTCCCGGCCACTGGCCCCATCCCTAAGACGCCCCACCCCGACCCCAGGCAGGCCTCGCAACTCCAGCAATCCACACCCCCACTCAGAAGGCCCGGCCTTCCCACGCCCGCCAGCGCCCTGGCTGAGCCCTATCCACGGCCGCGCGGCTCCACCCAGGAAGGCCCCGCCCGACCCGCCGAACCCGCACACCCGATTGCCACCACCTGTGCGCACGGGGACCGTGGCTGGCCACGGTCTTCCGTCGCGCGGATGGCGATTAAGGAGCAGCCACAGCGAGTTGGACCTGAGTGCTCGCTGCGCGACCAAGCTGAAGCCTTCAGCAGGGCTGAAGGATATATGCTTTCTTTAGTTGATTACTAGCCCCTTGACGGACCTGTGTCCCCGTGTCCCCCACCATGTCCTGGGGTCCTCCAGCGATTCGCTGTGATCTTGTCAATTGTTGTACAGGTGAACCGTCAATGTATGTAAATTGGGGACGTGGAGGGAATCCTCCAGGATTGCAGAGCAATGGTCAGGCAGCAAACTGGACACGGGTCTGCAGTCACAAGGGTCTTTCCCATGTGAGGGACCTCTGGTCTCGGTCAGACACTAGGCATGAGGTTGTCCACTAGTTACAAGAAGTGTCCTGTGTAAAGGTGCACTGCACGCACCCACGTCTAGCCCCCTACCTTTCTGCTTGGGGCAGGTTGTTGGCTGCTCTGGTACTGAAACTAAGTTATTTCAGGAGCTCTCAAAACAAGGACTTCCTGTTCCTTCAGTACCATTACTTAGTTGGAAGCTCTGGGTAAATGGGATGTAGTCCTCGGGCTCCCAGTCCGGCCAGCGCTCAAGTGGTGAGGCCACCGTATAGCACGCTGAGGCGGGGGAGAGATCTGTGGAGGCGGTTCTCCTGGACCGGGACAGGAGCCGACCCCTGGAGACAGAAGACAGCCGGGCTGCAGAAGTTGAGGGGCTTCCGGTGGGTGCAATGCAGGGAAGGTTGTCAATGGCTAGAAACAGTGGAGCAGGCGGGCGATGGACCTGGGACTTGGGGTGGCACGAGGTGCAGTGGGCCTTGCATGTGGGGCCGAGGAGCTTGACTATTCTGAGTGAGAATTTGGGGCCCTGGGGAAGCTAGGAGCTGGGAGATGACAAGGACTGCTTCTAGAAAGGTCCATGCAGTACAGTCCATCCGCTCAGTAAGCTTAGGTTTGGCTTTCCATGGGCTGGACCCTTTACAAGTATGCAAAGTCGAAGATCCTGGGGTGACAGAGGCATTGAGACGAACCCCTGTAAATTGGGGTTGATCTCTTTCGTCTTCTGCCTGAGGACCCATCCCGGCTTCCCCCTCTTCACTGATGACACCAAATTTGCTGGGCACCCAGGCTCCAGCTGACTTGGGATGGGGACCTGACCCTCCAACATCTTCCTCAATCTGCTGTGAGGCTCCACCAGCCCTTTATGCGGGTGCCCAGTCCCTTCCTCTGTCCGGCAGGTCATTGGCCTCAGTCCACCACTCCCACCCCCATCCTCATCTCCACTCACACATCCTGTTATCACCTCGGCCTTTCCCCCTGCCTCTCTTCACTTCCATTCCTGTGACCCTCCCTCCTCCACCCCTGGGCTGGCTTTTCATCACCCCAAAGACAAGAAATCACTTCTCACCATGCCACCAGCTCCGCTGGAGCTCAGCTGGAGACTCGATCTTACTTCCCCGTGTGGGAGTCTCCGATTACTTCTCACACCGCCTGCTGGAGGGAGGTGGATTCCTGCCCCGGCATGGAAAGCCTTCTCTGGGGCCCGCTCTCCTTTATACCACATTCAACTCCAGGAATGTTGGGATGCCCATTCTATGCACCTGCCCCCAATTTTCTGCACTCTGTATCTTGCTGATGCTGTTCCTTCAGCTCAGAACACGGTTCCCCTTTGCCTTTACCACTGAAATCATACCCTTCTTGTAAGGCGCTGATTCCCAGAATCACCTGCTCAGGAGCGCTCTCAGTCACAGGTGAAACGCATCTCCCCCATCTCCATTACTGCTGCTGCCACCTGCCTCTCTCATCCCTATCTGGTAGCAAGTCCATTGGGGTCTAGCTGCCTCTCTGGCTGGATGTCTGCCTTAAAAAGTGGAAGGGCTGTTGTGGTGGCTCAATCCTGTAATCCCAGCACTTTGGGAGGCCGAGGCGGGTGGATCACGAGGTCAGGAGATTCGAGACCATCGTTCAGCTAGCACAGTGAAACCCTGTCTCTACTAAAAAAATACAAAAAAAACTAGCTGGGTGGTGGTAGGCGCCTGTGTGGTCCCAGCTACTCGAAACAGGCCAGGAGAATGGCGTGAACCCGGGAGAGCGGGGAAAAAACACAGTGAGCTTTTGGTGAGACGGTCATTTACTCTTGTTGCCCAGGCTTGAGTGCAATGGCGCGATCTCGGCTCACCGCATCCTCTGCCTCCCAGGTTCAAGCGATTCTCCTGCCCTGGCCTCCCGAGTAGCTGGGTGCAGATATGTGCCACCATGCCCAGCTAATTTTATTTTAGTAGAGACAGAGGTTTCCCGTGGCATTATTAGATTCAAGATAAACAAATATGGGGGCTATGAAATATGTGTACTCAAATGTACAGTCATTTTTTTTTTTGAGACATAGTGCTGTCACACCAGTTGGAGTGCAGTGGGGAGATCTTGGCTCACTGCAAGCTCCACCTTCCGGGTTCCAATGATTTTCCTGCCTCAGCCTCCTGAGTAGCTGGGAGTACAGGCACCCTCCACCACACCCGGCTGTTTGTATTTTTAGTGGAGATGGGGTTTCGCCTTGTGTTCCAGGCTGGTGTCAAACTCCTGACCTCAGGTGATCCCCTGCACTCAGCCTCCCAAATTGCTGGGATTACAGATGTGAGCCACCGCCCCCGGCCAAATGTACAGTCATTAATGAGAGTGTTAATGAGCATGTATTGCTTTGCTTTACTTTTTTTTTTGGTACAGGTTCTTGCTCTGTCACCCAGGCTGGAGACAGTGGCATGTCGTTGCTCCTGTAGCCTTGAATACCTGGGTTCAAGGGATCCTCACTTCAATCTCACAAGTAGTTAGGGCTATAAGAATGGATAGCGTGCCCAGCTAATCTTTAACAGTTTTTTTTTTTTTTTTTTTTTTTTTGAACAGGGGTCTGACTATATTGCCCAGGCTGGTCTCCAACTCCTGGCTTCAAGCAGTCCTCCTGCCTCACCCTTCCAAAGCTCTGTACTTATAGGCATGACTCACTGTGCCTGTCCTACTTTAATTAAAGAAATTTTATTCCTAATCATGTATTTATCTAAAACATTTTTATATTCATTTTTTCTTCTTTCCTTCCTTCCTTCCTTCCTCCCGCTTCCTTCCTTTCCCCTCTCTCTCTCTCTCTCTCTCTCTCGCTTTTTCCTTTTTTGGGCCCCAGAGAGTCTCTCTCTGTCAGTCAGGCTGGAGTGCAGTGGTGCAATCTCAGCTCACTGCAACCTCTGCCTCCTGAGCTCAAGCAATTCTCCGCCTCTCAGCCTTCCAAGGAGCTGGGATTACAGGCATTTGCCACCATGCCCGGCTAATTTTTGTATTTTTAGTAGAGATGGGGCTTCACCATGTTAGTCCAGGCTGGTCTATGAACTCCTGACCTCAAAGTGGTTCGCCTGCTTTGGCCTCCCATAGTACTGGGATTACAGGTGTGAACCACTGGGCCTGGCCAGTTTTTCTTTTTTAGAGAAAAGGTCTTGCTCATCACCCAGCCTGAAGTGCCGTGGCACAGTCACAGTTCACTGCAGCCTCAAACTCCCAGGCTCAAGTAATCCTCCCACCTCGGTTTCCAGAGTAGTTGGAACTACAGGCATGCGCCACTACACCCAGCTTCAATACATGCATTTAATGCTCTAAATTTCTTTTCTTTTTCTTTTGAGACAGGGTCTCATTCTGTTGCCTGGGCTGACTGCAGTGGCGCAATCAACGGCTCACTGGAGCCTTTACCTCCTGGGCTCAAATGATCCTCCCTACCTCAGCCTTCCAAGTAGCTGGGGACTACAGGCATTTAGCCCAGCACCATGCCTGGCTAATTTTGATTTTTGTAGAGATTGAGTCTTGAACTCCTGGGCTTAACAATCCTCCCACCTTAGCCTCTCAGAGTGCTGGGATTACAGGAATGAGCCACCACACGGGCCTAGCGCTCTAACTTTCCTAAAAAAATTTTTCGCTGTGTTCTACATAATTTGACATGCTGTATTTTCATTATCATTGGTGATTTATTTTATTATTTTTGAGACAGAGTTGGCTCTGTTGCCCAGGCTGGAGTGCAGTGGTGTGACTGTGCCTCCTGCAACCTCCACCTCTCAGGTTCAAGCAATTCTCCTGCCTCAGCCTCCTAAGTAGCTGGGATTACAGGCAGTGGTGTGACTGTGCCTCACTACAACCTCCACCTCTCAGGTTCAAGCAATTCTCCTGCCTCAGCCTCCTAAGTAGCTGGGATTACAGGTGTGTGCCACCAGGCTTGGCTAATTTTTGTATTTTTAGTAGAGACGAGGTTTCACCCCATTGGCCAGGCTTCTCTTGAACTCCTGACCTCAAGTGATCCGCCCACCTCCACTTCCCCAAGTGTTGGGATTACAGGCGTGAGCCACTGTGTCTGGCCTAATTTTTGTATTTTTGGTAGAGACAGGGTTTCACCGTGTTGCCCAGGCTGAACTCAAACTCCTGAGCTCAAGTGATATGCCCACTTCAGCCTCCCAAAGTGCTGGGATTACAGGCATGAGCCACTGCGCCCAACAGGGCTACTTTGTTCTTACCCTGTCCCTGTCCACCCTATTTTCACCACCTGCTTTAAGAAACTTCCTCTTTGGCCAGATGTGGTGGTTCACACCTGTAATCCACCACTTTGGGAGGCCAAGGCGGGCGGATCACCTGAGGTCCGCGGTTCAAGCCAGCCTGGCCAACATGGCAAAACCCTGTCTCTACTAAAAAATACAAAAACTAACTGGGCATGGTGGCGCATGCCTGTAATCCCAGCTACTCTGGAGGCTGAGGCAGGAGAGTCACTGGAACCCGGGAGGCAGAGGTTGCAGTGAGCCAAGATTGTGCCACTGCACTGCAGCCTGGGTGACAGAGTGAGACCCCATCTCAAAAAAAAAAAAAAAGAAAAAAAAAAAAAGAAAAAAAAAGGAGGTTGGCTGTATACGCTGTTCTGCACCTTAGCAATATATTCCTGAGCTTCTCCTGTATTTGTCAAAAAAAAAAAAAAAAAAAAATTCACAAAGCTGCCTCATTCTTTTTTATACTTGTGAGGTCTTCTGCTGGGTGAATGTTCCACGGTTGTATTTCTCTACCCTCTACAGAGAGAATATTGGAAAGTTTCCCATGTTTTGCTTTACAGACAATGCTCCAATGACTAGCAGAGGTAACCGTGAGATAACCTCCCAGTGGTGGGAGAGCCAGGGCAAAAGCTAAACACATTTGTCATTTTCTAGATGTTTCTGCATCACCAGACTGTCTCATTCTGCTTCCCTCCTGCACTAGACAAGGCTGCCTCCTTCCCTATGGCCTTGACAGATGACCGTATCCAGCCTTTGAAACTGTGTCAATTTGATAGGTGAGAAATTGTATCTTACAGTGCTTAGAATTGTTTTTTCTTTTTATGAATTGGTTTAATAATCTTTTTATATATCTGAGGATCAGCAGTATTTTTAATGTCCTTTGCCTACTTTTTCTTTTTTTCCCCCCCCTGGATTTCTTAGAACTTTTTTTTTTTTGAGACAAAGTCTTGCTTTGTCGCCCAGGTTGGAGTGCGGTGGCGCAGTCTCAGCTCACTGCAACCTCCGCCTGTGATCCCAGCACTTTGGGAGGCTGAGGCAGGTGGATCACCTGAGGTC